GTGAATAGTTTGTGTCTGAATAAAAGAAATATGATGTATGGAAAAGATTGATGAGAGTTTCAATCTAAGAAAACTGTTTGAGAGGTCTTCTGGAGATGAACTAATCTGTTCGAATAAGTACCATTTAGAAAATGATCTTTTTCAGCAGTTGTCGTGATAAAAACTGAACTATTGCTAGAGTTTTCTGGCAAGAACTGGCGGATCCAAAATTAGCATCTTTCCTTCTATCAGGTGTGTCCTCTATAAAAATCGATAATATTTACAATTAAAATAGTGAAATAACATCTTGTTTTGTATTTTATATTAAGATAAATGAACTATTTGTCTATACAAATTTGTATTAAAAAATGGTTTATTCGTTTATTTGTTACGATGAACTTACAAAACAACTTATAGATCATTGTTGGTTTTTCGTAGGTGATGAATGCTTGCTCTTTACAAGATGATCAATATTGATCTCAACGAAAGACTGATGTGTTAGAAAAACAATCCTTAAGAAGATTTTCTATATAAATTCAAACTCAATAAATCTACATTATCAAACATCTGTATATGTATATTTCAATGATCTTATTATATTTTTTTGTTTATTTTTAGAAAATATCAAACTAAGTAAAAAAAAGTATAAAGTAAAAACGTAAGTTAGAAATAAATATTAATCTATCCAATAAACTACATAGCTCCCATTGAATATAAACTTTAGCTTTAGATAATTTATGACTGCATTGGCAACTCTACAGAGATTTTTTTCCAATGTCAATGATACATATTTTCTAAATGTAAACATATCGATTTTTGTCAGTCTATTAATTTATCTTATACAAGCATTACCTAAACTTTTTATATTAAAACTTTACTCCTTATTATTATTACAAGAACAAAATTTATTTACGAAAGAAGAGGATATTCTTATCAAACATTGCTCTGAGATGAATTATTTACAAATGAATAATATTGATGTTGCAGTATTTCTGAAAGACATGGTGAAAAAACGAGATCAACTATGAAAAACTATTTGTTGATTATAGAATTAAACATGTTTGTGATAATATCCATTGACAATGGCAATACTTTGATTTGTTTTATACCTTCGAACAATATTATAGATTTTTAAGATAGATACACAGAAGATCAAAGAATACAGATTGATTAAATAACTTCTCTCAAATTTACAGAGTCATTTGATTGTGTTTCCCTTTTTTTTTATCTATGACTTTTTCTATCGGAAGTTGATCTCGATGACCTATTCTTCTTTTGTCTGAGTAGCATATTTAAACATCTTCGAAGTGAAAGATTCATTTCATAAACAAATTCATTCAATCTAGATTGAAAAATAAATATGAATCAATTTAAACGAAAACTCAGTTCTGATGATTTGTCAGAAAAAAAAACAACAAAGAAATTACGCAGTAAGTTATTCGCCTAATGAATATAAAGTAATTTGTATTGGTATTGTATTGTAATAGATGAATTTGATCAATTTATGACTTGTTTTGAAGATCTATCAAATAAATTATTATTTGAAATATTTGATTATCTTGATGGATATGGATTATATGAAGCATTCTTAAATCTTAATTCTCGATTTGAACAACTTTATTCTTCATCTGTCTTGTTTAAAAGTCGTTGTTGTTTGATTCAACTTGATGAAGTCTTTAACATATTTAAACAATTTAGGTTTGCCAATTGACATCAAATATTTTCTTTACATGTAAATTTTATAATACGCAATAGTTACTTTTTTTCGTCGTTTTTGTTCGATTCATCATTTGATCGTCTTGAGTCTAATATTTTTGAAAAATTCAATCCGATACATTTATTCCAGTTCTAAGCAATTTATCTTCTTTACCAAATCTTACCTCAGTAACTATCGAAACATCTAATGTTCAAGAAGAAATTAATGATATCTATTGATTGATATTCGTCTTACCTAAATTGAAATATTATCGAATTTTCTTTTCTAATAATTGTCATTTAATTACACTTCCATTGGCTTTGAATAATCAATGCAGTCCTATTGAATATCTTGTTATTGATCATGATTGTTCTTTGAATGAACTCCTATCTTTAATTTCTTACACACCAAAACTTCGTCGTTTAACTGATCATAAAATAAAAACGAATGATTCAAATATTACAATATTGTCACCAATTACATTAGTTAATCTAAATTTGATTTAGTTGGATTTGCATCAAACAACATTTAATGTACTGGAAATATTCATTACAAAAAAATTTCCCAATTTAAAAAGTTTATGTATTGCTAGTTCAGACGATATCACTTTTCTTAATGCTTATCGATGGAAACAATTCATTTTGAATAATTTTCCTCAGTTAGAAAAAATTTATTTCGTATATGATGATCTTCTTCATCATTTTGGATTGTCAATGGCAATAGCTATTTGAAGCCGAAATCAAGGATACAAATGTCGAATATATAACTCGTCCCTACAGGTATATAGAACAATAGTTTCGATAATAAATTAATTTTTTTTAAGTAAAAGATGGTATGATGATACTGAAGATAATATTATTAACCATTATGTTAAACATTCTACATTTACTAATTTGACATTCGAATGTATTCCTAGTTCTATGTTCGAAGAAGTGATACCCAAAGAAATTGAACGTGTTTTAACAATATCAAATATTTATCACTTAGAAATTCCCGCAAAAAAAGTCTCAATTCCTGCATTGATTCAAGCTGTCAATTTATTACCCAACATAACTACATTAAAAGTTCATTCATTATCAACAGACGAAACAACAGAATTAACTCTTAAACAACTTCTTATTTTATGTTCAATAAAAGAAACAAGTAAAATTACCAAGGTCTATCTTGAAGAGATTGATGATGTTAAAGAACTTGATTTTCTTTTCACGTTTTGTCCTTGTATGGATTATTTTAAAGTTAGATGTATAAATACGATGGATGTTCAATCGTTCTTACCTACTATTTTCAAGAAAATTAAGCAAAATAATAATCATCATCTTCGTTCATTATGTTTTCCTGTTCAAACAGTAGATGAACAGATAGTTAAAAATATTGAACGAATGATCAATGGTGAAAAACCACTTTCTAATTTTCGAGTCAAACGTATACTAGATACTGTCTATTTACGATGGAAATAACTTGAACATATTTATATTTTTTTGTAAAATTTGTTTAATTATTAAAATAAAATGTTTTGTATTGATCAGTTATTTTTTTCTCAAAAATAATTCGATTATTTTATTATTTGATAACATTGATAAATGTTCTATAGAGAATGATAGAAAGAGAATGAAATATTATCAACCGGTTAGATAATCATAACATATTCCGCTTTATTTACCTAACTTTGTGAATTCTGCGCATGTTTCTTTTAGATCTTTATCATTTTGTTTGAACTTTATGTCGAATCACGAAACTTATGTTAACATGGTCAGATCTTCTATGGAAAATATATTAAATGAAAATTTTTTATGAAACCTTTGATTATCTTGATGACTATGAACTGTATAAAAACTTTTCTCAATTTTAATGATCGATTTCAACAACTTCAAACTTGTTCACCTCTTTTAATTAAAACCAAATATGGATTAGGGTGTGGATGTGGGTGTTGTGTTCTGCCACACCCACACACCGCCAGTTGTATGTATCGTTATCTTAAAGCAGCTCCAACTGCTACGACTCAAGTGACAAAAACTGCAGCCAATTCATATATATTCATCAATCTCATAATCATTCAACAAATCTTATTATGTAGTTGAATATCTTATTGGTAGGTTTACTAAACATCTCATGTGATATCGTCTGCCTCTTTAAAAGTTATTGATGGAACAATCAGACGAACAAAGAAATACATAGATATGGTCAGTATCTTGCGTTTAATTACAGATAAATTCATGTCTACATTCAATTTCCATGAAAGAAACCTTACGCATAAAATGAGCAAAAAAAAGCGTTCGTGTGTCATGACACTTTCTTTTCATTTAAAACCTTATATAAGCATATGATTTAAAAAATGAACTTATCATTCGATACGTCAGAGATTGCGCAAAATCTTCTCTTTTGAAAATTATTTCTTCATCACCTTTAACTTCAGAACGCGACACTAAAAAGTGGACAGTATGAGAAGCGACTTGCATTTTTTTGTCCATGTGTCATGACTCCTATTTTGATGTGCCTCAGTTCGACATCTCAACCAAATCAGCTGAAAATTGTATGACACAGAGAACTAACTGAATTCTATATTTGGGCCAAAATTTCAATCTTTCACAGTTTCTTAATCGCGAGATAATTGAAATGATTTATTAAAAATGTCCGTGCGTCACGTTTGGTCAGGCAGATAACAAATAGAGTTTAGAATGTGAATAATTCGTATTAGATAAGTTATTTTTGACATAGAAGAGAGAAAGAAAAATATTTTTCATGATAGAATGTGAAGGTATTTGTTAACAAACTAAAGCTACCGCCTCTCCGTTTTATCTTTCATATAAGAGAAGACAGCCTCTCTCTGTAGATTATTTCATTCATTCCTTATACACTCTAACTGTTTTTCGTGTGTTTTATCCATAATAAACTTAAGGTTTTCTCCGTTCTACTGTCTACACAACTGGTTTTGTTATCTACAAAATCTCAGAAGAGGTGAGTTCAAACTGAACAGCAAGAGTGAAATGAGGTCTGTATGCGGTTGATGTTTGTATACAGAAAAGAAAAGCAGGAAAGAATGTTCAAGAAAGTGTATTTCGCTTTTTCTCTTTTGAAACTGCTTTTTCTAAGTCATTTTTGTACCAGTCTTGAGAAGAGGAAAACTTGGAATAATTTTCATTTATAAACATAGAGGCGCATCAGTCTAAATAGCAAATCTCTAAGACTTGTTGCTCTAAAGGTTGTTTGTAGTCTACGTGGTTAGATTAACACGAGCTTTTTAAGTAGGTATCCATTTGCAACTTTAGGATATAGAAATACTATTCTAATTCCTTCTCTTTTTTTTGGAATATTTTTTCTTTTGAGAATGACAATCTGTCCTGAATGTTACGGTGTTGGTGAAGCTGTTATTTCCTGTGGATTTTGCGGTGCATATGTTTGTGAAGAATGTTATATGCGTCATCTCGTTATGTGTGGTCCAGATGATGAAAAACAGAAACTAGATGAAACAACAAAAGCTAGTCAAGGTAAGCAGTTTATCTTCAAGCTAAAGAACAGTCTACGTTAACCTCTTCAATGGAATCACGATTAGTCTCGCACATAAAGTTAATAGGAAGGATTAGGAAAAGAAGTAGAATGGGAGTTGGTGACAATAAAAAAGAATTTCTTCTCTATCTGTGAAAGTCATGCTCATATTACTATCAGAATTGTAAGAAGATCTGTAGAATTTCACGATTCACTTCACTTATCAAAATTTTAAACTAATTGTACTTTTCTTTATATTTTTAGGACTTCTGTGCCGTATGATAGAAAAGGATTCAACGTACAAAAGACGTTTTATTCAGTTCTTTTTTTTTAATCACATACTGTATTAGAGTTTTAAATAAAATATTCTTAGTTCAAACTTCTTGGAAACTAAGTTCAAATTTGCTTATCTACGTTCGATGAATCATTGTTTTTAACAATCACCAAAGTCAAATCATCAGTTGATTTTACTTAAATGTTTGTCGACCGATGAAAATGCAGGTGAATGAGCAAGAATTTAATAAAATGAGAAATAACAAAGTGAACACTGCCAAGACGACAATTGTGAAGAGAAGATTGTAAAAAATCACTTCTGCTTGTTGAGCGATCGGTTCTCGCTAATTGCTTACATAGAATATATTTCAGTCGATTGTGACACTGATATTGGTCTGTATTCGATAAAAGAATGTGTAGATAAATCATTGGCATTCAACGGGGTAGTTTTATTGATGATCTGAGTCAAATCAATGAGAAAGACAGCCGATGGAGCAAGAATTTGATCGAGCGATGACAAAGGGAATTTGAGCTTCATGAATATGTAACTTTAAATTAAAAAAAACAACAACCTTTTAATAATTTTAGTATCTATTAGAAAGATAATCATAGTTGTTCCTAATAAAAATTAACTTTTGATATTGGTTCAATCTATACAGCATTCATAATTGATGAAAACAACATGTTCAATAGATCTTTCACTGGCCATTTTCTGTCACTGTCGAAGATTTATTTAGACCGAGTCAAATGGCTTCAATTGTCTTCACTCCTGGCAATATGAGTTGAACACTAATTGTATGCAGTGGAAGTAGGATAGACCACCTTAAAATAGTGTCATTATAACTTGTTTGACATTGTGCAATAGGTAATATGATGACTGCATAACCAATGAGATGTTGTATATAGAGAGAATCTTGACAATTGAATATCGTTTGTACAAGATCAATTGCTTATCTTTTAAAGATTGAATTTTATTTTTATACATGAATTTATTATCATAGTAAAGGGTTTCCTTTAAAATTACTTTGATTTCTGTTCCAATTAGAGAGTTGTTGATGGAAATCAAAATTAATAAGATTCAAAATTCAAGATTAAGTAAACGAAAAATTTTATATCATCATATACATTCAAATTTTGAGACTTCTTCTAATTGTTCTAGATCGATTAACAGCATAAGAATTTTCTAAATAATGAAATACTGATTGCCAGGACTCGATTGGGACCAACAGACTTCAAAATTTTCGAAATCTGATAGCCTCATAATGCAGATTCTTTGACCTTGAAAACTTTCAGTCAAGTTTTATTTGAAAAAAAAATCGATATTTTCTCAGAATAGTGTGTTCTACGGGTAATTGTATGGTAATAAATTAACAAAATTAGTAAGATTAAAAACATTTTATGAACAGATTTCACTAGATTTGTGATTGCTATTATCGTGAAACACATATAACCCTTGTTGCAAAAGTCTTCAAACAAAATATTTATTCACTTTTCAGTCATCTCAACGCCATTAGCGAGAATCAAAAGTAGTTAACTAAAATCAGATTTTTGTGCTCTTTCCGAATATCTAGTCAGAATATTTTTCTGACTCAGCATTGATAAGAAATAGGCCAATTGTTTGTTCATCTTTCAGCCACTAAAAGTATTTGGTATGAATCAAAAGTAGCTCATTAGAACTAGTCTTATCTGCTCTTCTCTAATATGTGTTCAGAATATCTCTTTGACTTACGATTCGTTAGCTGTAAGTTAATACTGAAAGGAGACGAAAAATGACATCTCAACGAAGAAAATTTGATTTTAGTTAACAACTTCTAATTCTCATTAATGACGTTTAGGTGACTGAAAAATGAATTAAATATTTTCTCTGAAGACGTTTGCAACAGAAATTATCTCGTTTTATTTTAAGTTGAAAATGAAAACCATAGAACTGACAACATTTAAGGAAGAAAATCTAATTTTGTTTGAGTAACAGAACTTATAGAATTATATGGATATTTTAATCTCTTAACAATAAAGAAAACTTTATTATATAAACATATTAATATTGCAAAAAAAAAATTAAGGGTCAGTATGTACATAACTTACGATAAAACATATTCAATAACACGTAATCTCGTTATATCATTGTTTCTTGAAAATTGTACAATATCAATTATAAGACAAGTTAACAAGACGCGAAAGATTATTAACATATTTTTGTGAATCATCATCATCTTTCGTAAATAGTGATAAAACTAATTAAGAGAAAACGAAACAAGGAATTTTATGGTTTATTGATTGATAAAATATCAAGTAAACTTACTTCATTTTAGTCGTATCGTGACGTTCAATAAGAATGATATGAACAATGGTTCTGCCTCTGCTGGTATAAAGAAATCCATTTGATAATGATAAAAATTAAGTTGATGATCATTCAGATTGAATATATTTGTTGGTTGCATATAGAATGTATCGCCCATTGTAATTGATGGTACATCATTTTCACGTCATGTTATCAAATGATGATATTAGCGTGTCCACATATGAATGTGCTCAACTGAAATCATTCTAATCAAAATAATGGATGATACAAATATAACTTTTTCTTCTATTTTAAAGATCGATTATTGCTTTCAGAGATACATCATACAATGCAAATAAACTCAAGAAAAATGACTAATATTTCCAACAAAGTTCTATTCGAAATGACAGAATTTAAACTTTTGTCCATAATCTGTAAATATATTTTTATTGTCAATCAATAGATATTAAGCAACTATCTGACACTGGCAAAAAAAGAAGACAAGTCTATAAACAACAAAAAAAAATATTAACTCACGATGTATCATCATATCATGACAAAATTCACTCAATTGAGTGAAATGTGACTGAAAGCAAGCAGATTCCGTAAGATTCGAATATTTTTGTTCATTTTATAGTACATAGAACCAAAGCCATAGAACAAGCCTTTTTTGATCTGATAAAGAATGTTTACTCTTCAAGGAATATATCAATGTTCAAAAGTTCAGTTAAAACAATGAACTACCGTTTTGAAATTTCTAATATTTTGTTTATTTCTCAACTGTGGTTCCTCTTTTCAAGGAAGAATATCCTCATTAACCTATTGATGAATAGGTGTCTATCGAAAAATTATTTTCTCAATTTTATATATTTGACATCTAGTGGAAAAACAAATTCAATCATTAAGTACGAAATAAATCTAGAAATGAAATTCTATCTACATTTGAGTAATTTATCAAATTGAGTTTTAAATTTTATTTTTCTTCAAATTAAATTTCATGAAAAGATTATTTATCTCTATAAAAAAACGAAGTTGAAAAATACTTATTTGTTATTTCTCTAATTTTATTTATTTAACTTATCGGAAATAAACAAAACATTTGGTCAATAGTTCCATCGACTGATACACAGATCCCATTCAGCAAAGATATACGAAAATCAAATTTCTTTAAATAAGACACATCACTTGTAAACATCTCGCACCAATTTCGTCCATCGGTCAAATTCATAATAAATGGTGAAATATTCTGATCCACAATAAATATAAAACCAAATTGATCAAGTTTTGGCATACAATGAAGAATAAGATCAATTGAATGAATCGTATATCGAGTCATAATTATTTGTAAATCGAATGATTTTAATAATGATGATAACGGAAGATCATTTTCATTAATAAATGGAAGATTAGGTACATCCAGAAGAAAAAGATAGATATTTTTATGCTTAAATAAATTAATGGATTTAAATTATTTACGAATTAATATATAGACTTACTTTGTATTAGCAAGTTGTACCACATATGTGTAGTTTTGATTGTCACACAAAGAGTTTGCAATACAAAGCAAAGAAATAAAAGATTTAATGTGACATAACAGATAATTTGCAAGTGTTAGAGATTTGTTGTAACTATTGATGTTGTTATAATTTGAGAATGCTTATAATGAAAATAAAGAGCAGTTGAGCGAAGCGTTTCAGGTGTATCTATCAAAAACAATTGACTAGACTCAGATGCATCAGATCTATTAAGTTTGGCTTCTTTAAAATTACAAGATTGAATTATACAAAATAAAATGATCTTAGGTAATTTTGATAATTTTTCAACAACCAATTTTCAATTTCGATGATGAATTAATTGAATGAAATATGCAAGAATGAAGATTGAGAAAATCATGTCGATGAAAAAATTTATCCAATAACATTTGTTTGATCATGAATTTGTAATGAAATAACTTGTAAAGAATGAAATTTCAAATGATTAGACAAAAATTCAAGTACACAAAGACAATAAGTGCGATGGATATTGACACGAAGAGAAATTTAGTTTAGAATTAACCAGATACATGAGTTGAGTGATGCAAATGTAAATAAAAACATCATCTGCGTCTAAGGACTCCAATATTTCCAAAAATATTTCATTTGATAAATCTTTCAATTGAGGGTGTGGGTGTGGGTGTTGGTGTTAACATTATATCCTTCCACCCACACCCACATTTCAACGAAGGAATTCCTATGACTATGATTTTAGATCAGAATCATAGATTTTTATTGATGAAAATCGCTCCTTTAATCAATAAGCTTGCAAATACACAAAAATGAGTGTTCGTTTCATCATCAAAAATGGCATTTATTTATTTTTCAATACACTGGATTGAAGCTTAGATACTTTTTCTATCATAAAACATTCATGATAGTTTCTAGTACTTAAAATGAGCATAGAGTTTACTAAAAAGTTGAAAAAAAACAATAAAAGTGTCGGACCGGGCGGCCTGTTTCGAGCCCTGTCTCACATCCACACCCTACGTGTAGACAGGCAACGAAAAAGGACATACTTAATAAGCATTTAAATAATCATAAGCAGAATAATGAAAAAAAGCTTTTAGATATCTTTTACTAAAAAATAATTACTCACTTCGACATCTGTTATATGAAAATTAAGTGATATACGACGCTGTCATCCTAAACTATCCATTGAATGAATTTTCTTTTTACACTACCAATTTCTAATAAACGTACTTATGCTTTCTGAAAAAAAAAACTATCGATGTATATTCATTTAACAGCAATACCAACACAATATTTTTCTTACAGAAGTGTTACAAGGAAATCCTAGTACACAGAAACTAGTAATAGAGCTAAAGTGATCAAACTATAAACAACTTGCATAATCATGCTAGGTATTAGCATTATCCTGATATTAAGTTAATACTAATCCCAAAGGATTAGAATATTTTTTTAACATTAACACAAAAGCATTAAATTAGTATTTTTAACTCTAATGCAAAAACATAAAAGAAAACATAAATTAATGCAAGGCTAATGCTAAGATGACACCACTACCCTGAAAAACGTACGAAAAGCTTCGTTATATGAATATGTCATATATTTTTTGATCTTTCTTTCTATGTTTACAGGAAAGAATTTTCTAATAAAAGATTTTTATTTGAGTCAAAGTTTGTCTTGTTTATTAGTCATCCAACCTTTACTCTTTCTTCGTTGATCTTTTTATCTTCACTGTGGTCCACTTTTATCTTGTCATACTACAACCTTTGTTTTTTATGTCATTTCTTCGTCGACCGATGCGTGTTTGAATTTGCTCTTTGACTTATGTGTGTATGTCGGTTTGTTGGTATATAAAGAGAAGCATCTGCATTAGATTTTTCACCTCAATCTTTGTATCTAATTACTATTTTTTAGTTCAATACTTTTATTTCTTGTTCATCTAAACCATGTTGGGCTTTCAAACTCTCTCATATCTTCACAACATACCAGGTAAGAAAATGTTACTTTTAATATTATTTTTAATTGTTTTTTTTTATTTAATAATTAAAAGTCGTCCGTTCATCAACTAATAAACTTCACGAGATGTATGCCAAAGCTAAAGATACAAGTGTGCTCATTCGGCTTCCATGCACTTTAGCCGAAACAGTTGCTGATAAATCATTAAAAATTGCTGTTACAGTTGCTAATCCCCTTGTCAAACCATTATATGGACTTGGTAAATTTGTTTAAAACAAATTTGTTTGTTTTTTAATATATATATATATTCTCATCATTTAGTACATGTAATTGACGATTATGCTGTCGAAAAACTTCGTCAAATTGAATCTAAATATCCTGCTATCAATACATCAACTGAAGAGGTTATGAATACATTCAACGAAAAAACTGAATCTGTTCATCATGTAATGAATTCAGTTAAGGATACAACTACATCAACAATTCAACATAGCAAAGAGAGTGTAGGAAAATTTCTTTTCATTTTTTTTAATGTTTATTTATTTTTGTATTTAGGTTTTTCATATAGCAACATCCACAGTACATAAGGCATCTGATGTAGCTGGTTCTGTCTTCTCATTTTGTGAAACACATGTACCAGGAAGTATGTAAAAATAGAAGATAAAAATTTCTTTTAATACAATTTGAATTTTTCTAGTCCAACATCTTAATGCCGGCAAAACAACAGAGTTATATGAACATACTTGTTCAACTGTTAGTTCATTATTTAATTATGCATTTCATTCGGTTCAATCATCATTAATATGGTCCAGAATGTTGGCTGTATATTCTTTTTACTTAAAATAAATGAATGATCTTGTCTATTGTGTTTTTTTATTTATTTTTAATATTTCCTTAGGACACTATTTTTTTATATCAACGTTATAGTTGATCTCATATATATGCGAAAATAAACATTAAGAAATTTTTGAAAAAATCAAAAAATGTCCTCAGGCGCCAGCAGAATGGGTTCTACGTGATGTCTAAGATCAGTACTGTTTATACCATGACCAACAGTTCTGCTTGTATAAACTATATCATTAAGAACTAAATTGATCAAAAATCCGATGATTTTTCTTTTCAGAAGAAGTATTTTTATTTATTAAGGTCCTCGTTATACATATAACGGAGCCTTACTGTCTATGTACTCTGGACTTTTCGAGATGTTCTACATCGTTTTTCGCATTTTTGATACTACAATCGGAAAGAGCATCAAAAACTGCATCGATCTACGTAGGTAGCTTATAGGGCCAAATATGTAATAGGGTGTGGGTGGGTATAGGTGTAGCATTGATCCACAACCCACACCCTATGATATAGAAAGCTTTTATTTCTTGACTTTTCTCTTATCGTTCAACGACTATTAATTGCTATTTATAATCAGCGATTTCTTTTCTAAAAATCAACATCGAAGATGGAATACTTAGAACTGTCAATGTTTGTTTTTACTCAATTTCTTAATTAGATTAAAGTTAATCGTGCATCTTCTTGCCATTTAAGGATGAATATCGTTCAAAAAATCCATTGTATAGAAGAGTACTTGCACCATAATTTATAGAATTTAAATAAAACAAAGATAATTTATTGAAAGTACCTAATTACTATAACCATTATATTTTAAAATGATTTGTTCTACGGAGATAGATAATCTCAATTGGTTGAAACTCAATAATATACGATTAAAATCATCTCAAAACATGAAATCATTTCAAAAATCAGTTGTAATTAATGTACTTGCACAGCGAATACGATCTTCGGATGTGAATACTCAATACATTCTTGATGTTCATTCCTTGGCAGACAATTTAGTAAAATGTCTCTACACTATATGCAATTATAGTCGTGTAGAAAACTAAATGGAGGTTATCAGACAAGGTAAAATGATGTAATTAAATATTAATAATTTATTTAAATGTATAAATATGAACATTCCGCTGGAAGACTTTTAAACACGCCGAACGTGTCTAAGGAATCACTTATTTAGGGTCAGATTTTTGAGTCGGAACATTTTCTCTTACAAAGAAAAGTTCATTTTCGATGAGTGATAGTAAGCAAAAGAAAAGGAAATTAGCCGCAGACAACAAGCTATTTCTTTTTTCGTTCTGTGCCGCGTCAAAAATTACCGTATAAGGGTATTTGTTTTACTCGTTCTTCATTCTTCAAAATATTTTTTTACAGTGTATGATGCGCACATCCAAATATGGATCGATGTGTGCGATGTATATGACTCATTCTTCGGCAATGATTGTGAAATAACATCCTTTTTCTAGTTGTTGATTGCGAACTCAGCCATTATCACTCTTAGTTGTTCACGTACGGATGAATATGGTTGTTCCACAGCTTCTTCTTGACCAGCTCCCAGTTGAACTTATTTTCAATATATTCAACTACTTAACAGCGATTGAAATTCTCCATTCATTCTATAGTTTCAGTCAATACTTAAGACAATGTATACGAAAATATCAACAGTATAAAATTAACTTTCAAACAATACACAAACATGAATTCGATTGGATATGTAACGTAATTCATCCTGATCAAATTATGACACTCACTTTATCCGACAGTGAAGAGACACCTGGTCAAATGGATCTTTTTTTCTCTTGTTTTGCAACATTCGATCAGAGTTTTACTCGATTAAAACATCTTCGATTAAGAAATCCAGAAGAATTTCCTAATCTATCTCAAATGAAATGTCTTCATACTCTCACTATTGATTTTAAACGTTGGGCAATTTATTCTTTTGACTATGAGCATATCAGACGATATGACAAATATCTCGCCAATATTTTTCGTCTTCCAACATTACGCACTCTCATTTTAAACAATGAGTCGTTAAATATCGATTTTAATTTTCAACTATTACCTATTGCTGAACATCTTCACACATTTCAAGTTCATTTAAAATCAATAGACAATCTTCCATTCATTTTCAAATGTTTACCGAATATCAAACGACTTAGTTTAAGTTTGAAAACAAGATCGATGGACAATAATTTCATCTCGGAATTGAATGTTCCCTGCTCATTAACTCACTTGACCATTAAACTCAGCCACATTCTTCGAGATGAAATTGGTCAAATTATTCAAGCGTGTTCGATGTTGATCTATTTAAATATTCATATTGAACGTAATCAGACAAATTTTCATCAATGGCTCGATAGTGATTGGTGGTCATTGTTGATCGACAAATGTTTGCCTCAACTGAAGATCTTTCGTTTACGAGTATGTCA